GACACAGAATCTGAAACAGGCTCCAGGCTCTGAGCTGTCAGCACAGAGCCCGATGCGGGGCTCGAAATCATGGACTGTGAGATCATGACCTGAGCCGAAGTCGGACGCCCAACCGACTGAGCCACCCAGGCGCCCCTGATTTTACCTGTTCTTACACTCACAAGATAGGTAAGCAGAGATATGGGAGGTGGACAAAGGAAAAAAGGCCCATGCTAGATCAGGCTGTATTTAAAAAAAATTTTTTTTTAATTTTTTTTAACGTTTATTTATTTTTGGGAGACAGAGAGAGAGACAAAGCATGAGCATGGGAGGGGCAGAGAGGGGAGGAGACACAGAATCCGAAGCAAGCTCCAGGCTCTGAGCTGCCAGCACAGAGCCCAACACAGGGCTCGAACTCACAAAGCACGAGATCATGATCTGAGCCGAAGTCAGACAGACGCTCAACCACCTGAGCCACCCAGGTGCCCCCCTGAAATGCCGTTTACTTCTCATGCACGGGTATTGCATGTGCTTCGTAAAATGTATCTGTGAGTATTTCATATTTTTGATGCCATTGCAATGGCGTTTTTACTTCAAGTACCAGTTGTTTATTGCTGGAATATGGAAAATCAGTTGGTTTCTTTTTCCCCCAAATCTTGTGATTTTGCTTAATTTGAGGATTCATTTTAGTAGCTTTATTACACACTCCTTAGGGTTTTTTACACAGAAAATCACGTCTTTTTGGACGAAGACAGTTTTCCTTATTCCTCTCCAATCTCTCCACCTTTCATTTCTTTTTCTTGCCTTATTATCCTGGCTGGAATCTGTAGTACAAGGTCAAATACAAGTAACGACAGACATCCTCATCTTCTCACCAATCATCAGGTGAAAGCACTCGGTCTCTACTATTAAGCGTGATGTCAGCTGAGGCGTTTTGGTAGGTCCTTTGTAAGGAGATAGATATTTTCATCTGGCAATATTGCTGCCCAAAGCTACTTGGGGTTTTTCTAGAAAAGAAGAAGGGGGAATGGATATGGGCATCCATCAAAAGGGAGGCCAGCAGGGGTTTCTTTATGAGTTCAGCCCTGTCTTAACTGTGTGATGATTTATTAGGAAGTAAGCATTTATTTCCATTAGAGGCTTTAAGTGTGGAATATGGTTCACATTAAACACGACCACGGACCATGTGCGACAATGCATCTTTATAAACTGTCTTTGGGAGGGACACGTGTTGCCAGGAAACCAGCTCCCCATTAGTCCATTGGGAGGCAGTGTGGCCTGCGGTTAGAAACAATCGCTCAGAAGCCTGGCTGCCCAGTCCGAATCCGGCCCTACCACCTCGGGCACATTCTTCAACCTATGTTGGTTTTCCACCTGCAAAATGAAGGTATCAAAGGATATCAGTAATACTTACCACCGGAGCTTCTGAAGACTCATAAGCAAATGCAGTTAAGAGCTGAAAACAGCGTCTGTTGTCTGGTGCGTCTTAGGAAGGACTTAGTTTGTGTGGGGCTCAGTTACACACAAGTTTTCAGTAGCGGGTATACTGCTTGAAGTAAAGAACAACCATCCATTTAAAAAAAAATCCACTCTCCAGAAGTGTCCTACTAAGGCATTATAAGGAGAAAGGGTTAGATACTTGATCTCTGTTGTTTTGTCTGTTGTCGGTGCAATAAATACATTTTAAAATCCTCTGCATTGCATAGGCAGTTACCAGCTGGGCTATAGCTGTGGGCGGTGACACTCCGGAGTTCACCCTGAGTCTACACTTAAAGGCTGAACCAGACTCTGACCTTCTGATCTGCTTGTTTTGACCGCTCGACAGTGCACACTGTTCCTGGGCTGCCCCACCTGGACGTGTGGACCACCGTGCAGCCCCGGTTGGCTTCAGCCTATTATTTCTTGCCAATAAACTCCAATTCGAGGGGACGGAGACTTCTCAATCAGTCACTCTCCTGGGCTCGTGCCTTCCTATCAACATGCTCCAAGTCCTAGGTATCATCCTTCAGTGGGGGATAAGTCATGCCAGCCTTCCTGTCTGGAGAGGGCTGCAAGGGGACACTTGCCAGCAGAGATGAGGTTACCCTGGACCTGCTCAAGTGGGTCCTGCTGCAGGACTGTGATGTCAACATCTAAGGAAAAGCACTTAGGAGCAGGCTGGCAGGCCATCAAGGGGCCTTTCCCCTTAACTTGAACCTTTTTTTTTTTTTTT